TATGATACAATAATATATATATATATATATATATATATATAGTACTATCGACATTATAATTAAATAAATTTGTAATAAAAAATAAGAAATCAATATTTTTTACATTTTCATTACATTTAACTGTTTTACGTTTCTTATGCATATGAAATCAAGAAATTCAAAATAAAAACTCTAACGTTTGCCTTTTCGTGTGCTCTTTTCCTTCATCTGTATAGTTGATTATTTAGAATATTTCAAATAAGATATAAGGAATATTTAAAAAATTGATAAAAAAAAGTTATCTTCTTTCATTACAATCTATGCATGATGTTGAGATTTCCGTTAAAACTAATTTTGTTATTATTATAAATCATTTTAATTCTCTCAACGGACTCGAACACGGCAAGTGTACCGGCCGTACAAGTAGTAAATTTATATCGTATCCAGGGACTAGTAGGTAAAATAAGTATTTATTGACTATTCGTGACTAAAGAATAATTTCATTTTCATAGATTGTCATGCAATTCAAATAAAGGTTATGACCTATGGAATGTTAAAACTATAAAATTAATTGTGTGTGTGTGGAAGGGAAAGAAATGGTATTGTGGTTTTGTAAGATTGTGGGGTCAGATACCACCAAACGTCACACTAATGAATCTTTGTTCTCTTGTTACATTCATTGCTTAGTAAACCCATAAGTTTACTCAAACATAATCCCTTAGAGCAAGAGCCTAGGTACAAGTAATGAATATTAATTCCTTGAGTATCCAATACATACACCTGCATTACGGGTTAGGGTTTAAGACTACTAATGGGCCAAACTTCATTCCTAGATACATTTCCCACTAGATATTTGTTTCAAAGCTAGTTCAAAAGGCTATTTTTCAATACCCAATAGACTCTATATCAAGCAAAGGAGAATCAATCCAAAGTAAGCATTAATAATAGAAACATACACAACAAAGAATGAAACAACATATATATATATATATATATATATATATATATATAATAACATGAAGATTACATAAGAGTTTCGTTAGTTACATCTAACCCCACAAAATAATGGGTAGAACTGCTCAAAACAATGAGGGTAAAACAAAAATAGAGATGAAAGAGAGATGGAAGAACCGAAGGAAAGATCCACACACGAACGGTCCTAAGCACCGGGAATCCCTTCCTCAGCTCCTAGAATTCTCCCAATGTGTGAATGAGGGAATGAGCCTCGAAGATTTGATTAAATACGAGATGAGGGAGATAGGATAGGGTTTACACGCCCGGCGCGTTATACTTCGCGCCCGGTGTAAGGTCTTCCAGAGAGGTAATTACTCTCTGTCTCAAATCGTGCCCGGTGAGGATGCGCTTACGCCCGACGCAATGTCTTCTAGAGAGTTTTGAGTGCTCTCTGTTTTGAATTGCTCCCGGTGCGGATGCTCTTGCGCCTGGCGCAATTCTGAAATGCAAAGGTCATGCTCTGTGTCTCTCAAGCCTGAAGCGGGTAGTCTACGCCCGACGCAGGTAATCTTCTCCTGCTCCTTAGCTCCTTAAATTTTCAATCCTATGGGTCTTCAACCTCAACTCTCTAACTCAATACCTGCACAAAAAATAAATCAAAAAGAGAACAATTGCATTGCAAGAGTGCATAGGGTGAGTGGAATTGTTCAATAATTCCTATCTAAACATATGTATAAATGAGACTTAACACATGAATGTACATTAGTGTATATGATTATACATGAGTTATCTTTTATGTTAATTTTTTATTTTTATTTTAAATACTACATTTTAGTAATAATAATAATTAATAATGATACAAAGGCAAATGTAACTTAGTAAAGAAGTTTGGTTGGAAATCTTTTTTATTAGACAACAACTAAATTAAACTTGATGTTTCTTGGAGCTTACATTAAAAATTCATGTGCTCACCAAGTTCAACACACTTTGATGTAAGCGAAAGAACGATGATACAATTGAAAGTTACTATAGATTTTGGCATTAGATACTACAAAGATGATGACAAACTTGAATATTTTGTTAATAGTGATTAAGTTGGATCTATTGATGATTCTAAAAGAAGAATATTAGATTTTTATCAATTCAAAAAAGGGGTGTTTTCTTGAAATTCTAAAATGTAAGAGTAGTTGCTCAATCATTAATTGAAACTAAGTACGATGTCGCAACAATGGTCCAAATTGAGCTACATGAATTAGGAAAATCTCGAGAAACTTAAAATAATATGTAAAAGAAACCTACTAGTTTATAGTGTGAGAACAATTCAATCATTTCTATGTTAAAATCTCATTAAACATGACAAAATTAAACATTTCAATATCAAATTTTGTGGTATAAGAGATGTTAAGAAAAATGGTAATGTTCCATTGATATATTCAAGTTAAGAAACAAATTGTAGACATAATAACTAAGACACATCCATTTACCAAGTTTAACAAGTTGAGAAGAAAGTTAAATTCTTAAAAAAAAAAAAGTTTTAAAGAGGAGTATTAACGAATACATGTAAATTTTTTCTAAAATATTTTATTTGCAGTTATAACATCATTGCTTACTTTAGTTGGTAACATTTTATTGAATACGTGAGTCTGTTCTAATTATGGGAAAATTTGTACACCTAACAATAATGGGTACATATTTTTTCTTTAATAATCGGTATGATGTATATATGATTGCTATTTCTTTTGTATTCACACAAATATGAATGGAATTTATGGAGAACAATACGATAGTGCAGCATAATGAAATTGCTCTATCCTCTTTTCTCTTTTCATGCTTTCCCCATTGGCATGGTTCTATTTTATGATTTTATGGTTAGATTGTGTTCCTTTAACAACAACACAAGTTAATTCTTTGATTGCTTTGGATGTTCATTTTCATTCACAATATTTTCCTTTTAATTTTTTTTGCAATGCTATACTTGGTCATTAATCTGAGGTATGGTTATGACTTATAATGCAAGCTAAAGGTTATCTCTCCAAATTCCAATCTCTCGGGGGAGTAGTAACCAAGCACAGATGAGAGCAACTCCTCAAGCTTAAGTTCCAAGTCATCAGTCTTTCAAATGTTTCTAAAACACACACACACACACACACAAAAAAAAAAAAAACCTCCACTAAGAACTTAAGAAAAAAAGCTCCTTATTAACTTAGTAATTACAAAGAGCGAGACTGAAAATAAACAGAGCATAATTGTGCATCAAAAGAGGCAAACTACATGTTGACAAAATTATCCGCCAAATGAATATCAATTTCTTCCTCCAAACTAAATACTTTTGTTATTGCTAAGATAAACTAGTTTCAGACACGAGTAGAGATAAATAAACTATGAAGAAGAAACAATAAAACACTGAAGGCGATTTCAGCACAAATAACAATGACTATGGATTAAACATCAATCATGGAGAGGTGAGTTGACTCCTCCTAAAGCCATTCCTTCCGAATATCAAAAGTGTAGTTGATCTCCAAATACAACTTGTTGTCATCGTCAACAAACTGAAAAACGTGACACAAAATACGAGGACAAGTAATGCATTAATCCATCTGAAATATTGTAACTAAAGATGATGCAAAAAATGTTGACTTTGCGAGGATAAAAAAAGAGTAAACTTCAACATTATTACTTATTAATCCTTGAGCTGAGAAAATCGTATATGTCAACATTTTAGTATCTAAGAATTTATTTACTTTTTCTTTAGTTCTTAACTTCAAAAAAAAGCATACATCTTTAATCTTTTTCTACTTAAAAAAAAAACTAAAGTCAGTAATGTTTTGTAATTTAAGAATTAACATAAAGTTTTAAAAATCACATACAACATGAGGACTAATTTGAAATGTACTCCCGTGAATTTGAATTTTATATATGTGTGTGGGGTTAAATGTATATACACATGAAGTCTGGCAACAAATTTATTAGAACATTTATTGGTGGAGTGATTGATGCCAAAGAGAAATTAATTTGTGCTCACTTCATTTCCAAAACAAGTCACAACATCAACACGGACAGTTGGACAAGACAAGAATTAATATTTAGGATCGACTTAGTTATTTTCTTATTTAATGCACTAGTGCTGGATCTCGTGACTGTTGCAGTCATGAAAAAGCAATTTTTAAGCCCTCTTTGTGAAACAAGATTATATGATAATTATGAGAAAATTTTCAAGTTTTACCTATATCTTAAATCTATTAAAAGTGTTATCTATTATATCATAATTTAATAATATTAAACAGCAAAAAACTCAAATTTCTTATCATCAACCAAATAAGATAGAGTATATAAATGACAATAAATCTTAATTTATAAATATTATAGGATTAAGTTAAACTCAAACTTGCATTTGAGGAGAAATATTAACGAGAGGTTTAGTGTTAAGGAAGCATGCATTAAATATTAAGTACTACCTTGGATCTAGCTGAATATGTCCCTCTAGCAAATAACCCAGATGGTGTTGTCTCTTCGGGCATCTCATGTGTGTAAGGTTCTGCTTGAGGGCTGAATGTTCCAATCATCTCTTTAGTGCTGTCAACTGCATTAAGGCTCCATAATGAGATATATGAATGAACTTAAAACCTAAATCATTTGTTTATTGTCATGAATGCATGAGTTGAGTTTGACAATTAATTAACTTACCCTTGATACCAGTTTTCCATACAGTGTTTGTGTATTTGAGACCTGAAACGATATTATGGCTGACCTGGAAAGTGAACATGAGACTGTAACGGCTACCTTCTTTCAAAGTAAACCATAAACCTTCGGGATTTCCTGACTCTGGTATTGGAAGAACAATGTCTTCTCTACCAGCTGCCTTGATTGCAAGGCTCAGGATCTTCACTTCTGGCTCCAGAGATTCTTAATCATGCCAAAAGTTAAGTCAAGAAACTGGTCAATAAAATTCTAGCAAAAGGATTTTCATTAGGGGAAGCATCATACAAAATTAAAACGTTGCAACTTACAAAAGAACAGTAAACCATTGAAAGTCAAAAGAGAATAATCAAAAGGAAAAGGCAAGAAAACAAGGTAGAAATGATTAGAGGGTAGGTAGGAAATGAAGAAGTAATTACCACCAACAGAATTCATGTCAACACTGCCAAGAAGCTGTTCCTTCCACCTCCTCAAGCTCTCATCATCCTAAGAGGAAGAGATGCATGAATGAGAATGAATGAATTAATTAAGAAAGGAAAGAAGGAAGAGAAAATAAAAACCTTATCCTTTTCGAGTTGCTCCTTCAAAGTGCACTGAGGACCCAATTCAATCCTTCTCTCGACGTCCTCATCTTCCTCCTCGGTGACAGCGATGGAACCTTCACTCACGTGTCTACTGATGGTGCCTCGTTCGTCGCCACTTTCATCTTCGTGAACCGTTTTCCCGACGGCAACATCTTCCTTATTGTCTTTGTGATCAAAACCCATGCTTGCCCAAAGACATCAACGGCAGCTTCACGAGAACCACCACCGCACCACACCACACCCAAGAAGGAAACTAAGAGAGGTAAAGAGAGAAGAAGGAAATGGTCCTGTGGTGATCCGCAATTCACAAATATTATTCAACTACAAATATGGGAGAAACTCCTCGTCATCGTGAACCTCACTCTCCTACCACTAACTGCAAAATATTATATTTTTAAATGGAAACCAACCATCTATGCCAAAAAATTAATTCATGGCTAATACCGTTACTAACTATATCAATCAACCTTAACCACCCCTACGTACCATCGTGTAACTTAACTTCATCACTTTTAATAATCCTAATCCCACCAAAATTATATATCTAAGAACAAATACAAAATTTATCAAAAATTGCATTTGCTCTGCCGTATCTCATTGCAAAAATGTCAGATAAAAAATTTATATATATATTTCGTTTTAGATAATAGATTTTTTACATAAATTTATATCCAAAGTCCTTGAAAGTTTAATTAACATTTCACACTTTCAATTCATCTTATTTAGTTATTAATTTTTTTTTTGTAAAGATAGAAAAGATTACAAAAATGATCGCGAGGATTGAACATAGGTCCTCATACTTCTAACTACCAACTCCTCCCCACCCATATACATAAAATGTGAGTACATAATTTTGTTTTGTTCATAAATATAGTATATCGTACAAAGACTAATCTTTTTTCATTATTACATGCGTTATTTTTTCATTAATTAAACGTGTTATGCAAATTTTCATGTAAAATAACTTTTTAATACGAATAGTTTAATTTTAAAAAATGATATTCAAAATATTTAATAATAAAATATACAAATTATCATTGTTACTATTGTTTTCATATTAACATAACTATTACAAACAATATTAAAATTAATATATATTTAAAAAATATAATAAATTTTATGTTATTTTATGTGGATCGTAATTTATCCACCCAACAATACACATCATAAAATGTTGTCCCATAACTTTAGGCTTTAGCATATGTGCTCTACTGTAGCTTAGAACATGTTTGGGATAACTATTATATTATCAATTTTTAGTTTTTTTTTTAGAAAAAAATTGTTTGTAAAATAAATTGTGTATTTGAGACAATAACTTAAGTTTGTAAACAATTTTTATTTTGAAAAAAAGTTATTTTTTTATGAAGTTAAAAATTTTAAGATTATGATGATTATTTTTCAATAAATTTTTTCCCTTTTAAGCTGATTTACTACATGAAAACTAATTATTTGTAGTATGCAAACAAAATTAAATATGTCAAAATCGTCTTTTATCAAATTTATTCAAATAAAAATTCATTATACTTGTAATCAATTATATATATAATTGGTTATTAAAATAATTTAATTTTCATAAAAATTTTCAAACAAACCCTTTTAGCATGTATCTTACACGATGAAGTTAAAAATGAGCCCTTAATTAGATTCATGTAGCTCCATAATAATTAATAAGTTCTTGAAATATATACGACCCAATGAAACACACATAACGGTCATTATATTCCGGTGGAACAATAATATTTTAAATGCAAGATATTCTAATGATTGCAGATGATTGCTTGTAGTCTCACATTTTGCTGAGAAAAAAAATTAAGCAATGTCAATAATTATTGACAAACTATTCAAAGGAATAGTTATTTTTGAACAGATTCATTTAACTGTCCATGAAATTGTTGGACTACGTGATTGAGGTTCGCGAGCATCAAGTCCATTTTTCGGCTGAAAACAGAATGAAGAAAGCACGTTCATTTCACGATCTTCCCACAGATAGATGGCTACTTTTTCTCCGAAAACCGATAACACAAACTAAGTAGTGCCTAAATGTGTGCTGTTAATGTGTTCCATGCTGGCTTTCTTAAGGAAAAAAAGTAGAAGCTACATATTCTTGCTTCAAAGTAATGCGTGTCTAATCTTAGGGACGCACATCTAACGCACTGTAACTTTCAATTTATTCTGATTCGTTAGAAAGTAGAATGATCATCATCTTGTTCGGAAGCTTGTAGACGTTCAGCAATTGGGCTCTGAAAACTTCTTTGCTACAATCATAAAACCATTGATTTGCTCAAAATTTTGATTTGAAACTAATTGAATTTGATTCCAATAAAATGTGCAAGCGCATTTCACAATATTGATTATAAAATCAAACAATTAAGAATAATGATAAAATCAAATACAATCTCAACTGTTGATTTAATATTCTTGTAGAGCATTTTGGCATTCAAGTATTTATGCAACCATACACAAATTGTTTTCATATTTAATTTAATACAATAATGTCAATAGAGATTTTTTTTTGGGAAAATAAAACATGCCTTCCTCAATAAAAATATCTTAAAAATAAAAAACAAAACCAAAAAGAACAACTCTACTTGAAAAAATATTCTATTTGCTGATCCGGCTGCTAATAACAATGAAAAGTCCTCTGCAGCCTAGCTGGCCACAGAGATTGGAGAGAGGTGGTTTCACAACTTCATAATCAGCCAGCATATTTACGTGCCTAAAAACACTTGATGTGCCCATACACTACTAGTATTATACATCAGATAAAATTATGAAAATCAATTATACCATCTGCAGTCTTGAAAGATATTATAAAAGTAGAAAACTATTAATGGAATTTGACCTATTTTGATTGTTGTGTTGTTTATGGTTTTGGTTTGGATGAGGGCATGTCATGTCTCGAACCTGAGAGCCAACAATGGTATTGCAATAAGCAAACCATTGCACCAGGCCATAGACAGACAATGAAATTTTACCTATGATATGACTAACTTTAACTTTGGTAAAATTTGTTCATGACGTGATATTAGAGTATCTACTATATAGTGATCAAAATAAGCATTTCAGAGGGGTGTTACAGAAGCATAAAATCATTCTGTTTCTTTCCCTTTCCCTACCAACTTTAAGCTCACGAGAGAATTCGTTCACGGCAATAACAAAACAAAATTAATTTGTTGACCTTCAATACAACAGCTAAAAAATATTAATGTTCATATCACTGATATGCCCCCCAAACATGCAAATCTTAAATTCTCAATTTTTAAGCCAGCTCAATTTGTTTGGTTAGAGTGGGTTTACAGGATTTCTAGTTAATTTAATGCAAATACCCAACCCAATCCAGTTTTCAAGATTTGGGTGGGCCAGGCTCGCAGGTCATCCCGAACCATGTCCATTCCTAATTTGGCACATCCTTGTTCCCGTTAAGCCTAGTGGCTAACAGAGACTGCCTTAAACCACAAAAGCAGCAGAATACGGTCGTAAATGATTAAATTATGAGAAACAGCCAGATGAAAATGAAATGAGCAAATAATTCAATGACAGGCCATTCCATATAACTATGTAAGGATTGTATTCCAAATAATTAAGAATAATAATAATAATAAAAAGACCTTGAAGCCGGGCATCATCTGGGAGCCATTTTGTACACTAAAATAGTATTCAAGCCAACGATAACTCTATTTTCTTGATCTTAAACTTTCATGATATTTCTTTTTTATATATATAAAACATGACAAAATAACATGAAACCAATCAAGAGGCAGTTGACAATAAAACTTAAAAGTAATCACTGTTGAAAGTTAAAACCCAGTTTCACATAAAACCAATTTTCCTTATCAATTACAGGCTTGTGAAGGAGCATTTTTTTAACTCTAATTACTTCTCAAGATAACAAAAGAGGAAACAATAATTAACTATTGTTCAGGTGTAAAGGAAATAAACAAACTGAGTTGCAACAAAAATCGCCGCAGTAAGATTTGTATGGAGCAAAGGTGATCTTGAATGAATTAAGAGTAGTATAAATAACATTCCGCATAACCGGGCTAATGACAAACCTTTAAAAGGCGAATTACTCATTAGTCACTACCCCATTTTCTTACAACATTCTCCTTGGCAGAAATATGCTTATAAGCACTCTTCTTTGAAAGTCCATCAAAATCAGGCTCATTGCTGGTAGAAGTATTTTTCAAGACTTTTGATGTTACAAAACTAAATCCATTTCTCACTCCCCTAAGTGTATATAGCAACGGATTGAAGATTACAGCAAGGAGCAAATCACCTTTCGCAACTAGGAGATACTGAAAATGCAGAGAGAGAAGGAAAAATATAAGTTTTATTGCATGGTACTTATGATGAATTCATGACTTTAAGTAACAGAGTTAAGAGAGGAATGAGGAAACTTCTTACTACTAAAATGAGACCAAGTATAGTAAGACCAGCTTGTTTTGCTTCTTGCCAAAAATTATCATCATTGGACCAGCCAAACCTTCTACCCCACCCAAACCAACCACCTCCACCAGTGTCACCTCCACCTCCCAGCTCTTCTCTTCTTTTAATTTCCTTGTCCCACTTGTCAAATTCATTTTTCTTCCCACTTAGTGCTCCTTCTAATGCTTTTCTAGCTTGTTCCTGCAATCCAAATTCACTTTCAGTTTCTTATTCCCCCTCACACCATTTTTCAAGATAGATTGTAATCATTTTAGTGATAAACTATTTCCATGGGTAACCAATATTTTCATGAGGCCAAAATTTTATAATTATATCAATATAAACTGATAGTGAGAACATGTAATGAATGAAACTAGTGAGGGACCTGAATCAGCGTCTATGCAGCAAGGGGTAGGATTTGGACACATGGCAAATGATCATCGTGAGACTATTAGCAGGAGAAGCACATGTGTGAAGATCACTAATTCTAAGCTACGTGGGTTTCAGTATTGATGGTTGGGGTATAAGTATTCTGTTAGAGGAGAGAGAAGGGGAGGCAGGAGTGATTCTATTTTCTCTTCCTTTGGATTTGTTTCTGGTACGGAAACATTCTTCTGTTATTGCAGAGTATTTCTGTTGCTACCTGGTATTGTTCTGTCTGTTGTCTTTTGCAAGATTCAGCAATAATACATCGGTGCATTGCTATCATTTACATTACATAATTGGTTCCTCATTTTGTCATGTATTCTGATCATAACAGAACATCATTCTCTTTTACAAACAAGAGTATAATTAAGTTTTTATAATTTTCATGAAAATTGTACCTGCAGAACATAATGAACCCAACAGAATATTTATGCTAAACAATAAACCAAACCAGTTCTGTTAATTAAGGCATCTTCCAAATATTATCCTAAAGGAAAAGAAATTGAAGCACAGCATTGTGTTATGGGATCACCTTGGCATCTAATAGTCACATGACAATTAATCCGAAACTAACATGCATATGCTCGGGTCGTTCAATTAGGAGATCAGTTAAATATCTGTAACTGCATGCATCATTCTGTTATAGTTTAGCTTCCACTGCTTTCTTATATAGACATGTAGTTCCTTTCTATATATCATACTTTTTTATTCATTGAATTCAAGAGTTACTTCTATGGAACTTCTCTCATATTCGTTGAGATTTATGATCTTTGGCTCCCCAAATTGGGGTCATTTGCATCCCCATCCAAAGTTTGACATGGTATCAAACCTCTCTAATGGAGAGAGCAATGATTCCACAGCTGAAGATGACAAGAGAGAGGCTGAGACGGAGGTTGAAGATCCAACACCCATGGAGGCACAGCTTGGAGAAGCACCTGTTGTAATTAGAAGTCATCAAGTGATGCTTCACTTGTGCAAGAACAAAGCAAAAATTTCTGCAGCAATGGAAGTGAAGACAGCAGACTGAGAAGAAGAAACAATGAAGAACCTGGAGGCTGAGTGCACAGAGCTTGATCATCTTCAAGGGCATTTAACAAACCAAGATTGGAGGATTTAAAAGCACCAAAAAGAACTTGACAATGAAGATGTCAAAATGCTCAAAGAGAAGGACTTCAAGATGGATTGGAGCTTTCAGAACCTTGATGCACTTGCACCACAAGAACACACCACACTTCAGAGCATGATGCAGAGGGAGAAAAGAAGACAAGGGAGGAAAGGCAAGATGTTGAAAGGTTCATCTAGGAGAAAGAAAGGATTAGTTTTTTTTTATATCAAGCCTTGGATCAAGTACTCACATACAACTTTAGACCCATAACTGACGTCAACAATCAACTAATAATGGGTACATTCAACAACCATCAATGAAAGATGAAAGGCCCCACATCTCCACATTTTGAAGCTTCACCAACTTAACATCGGGGCCAGAAAGACCCCACTGGACACAATGAGGAATAACACCAGTGATGTTGGATTATTCAAAACCCACATTGTTGGGGTAGGCTAATAATAGGATCGGCCAATGGGACACGAGCAATGGAAGAGAAATGGTTTTGCAAGAAACTAGTTTTCAATGTTTTACTATCACTGAAAATGGCCACACGTTAACAGGGTCCTTGTTTGAGAAGACAGTGTTGCATTCAAAGACATCAACTAGGTGAGCTACGACTAACTCTTGTGGAACTTGAATTGCCATCTGTCAGCATTTAATTTGTTCATGATGGCATGTGGATGTTGGGTGCCAGCCACTGATATATTGATCTCATCAGTATAAAGATAAGAGAACATATACTGGGTTTAGATGGTTGGAGATGACTCCTCTGGTTTCATATTTGACTGGCGCAAGCAATGAGTTACATGGGGGCCTTTTCTCGTGGGTTACTGAGAATTGTAAAACAAAGTGCCACCTTACAGCAACTATGGACAAAATCCATTCCTCCCTTGCCAAGCTGATGGATGTTCATCAATGGAGGGCAATAGATTATAGAATTAACTTGCATATGATTAAATCGTTCAATAAGGAGATTGGTTATTTAGAAGTAACTGGCATGCACATTCTATTATAGCTAAGCTTTCATTGCATTTTTATAAATACATTACTTGGAAATTTTTTCAAAAAAGTGTGCATTCCCCTCTTTTTTTGTTGATAAATTTGAAAAGCCTTCATTCTTTTCTTATGTAGTTCCATGTGTATCAGCATCTTTTATTTATTTAGTACAATGAATTATTTCTATACAACTCCTATCTTTGAAATTTATGATCTTTTGGCATCACCAACGTGAGATCACTTGCATCCCCCATCTAAATGAGTACTTTTGTTTCTAGAAGACAATTTTTCTCTCCCTTTTCTTTCCCCTTTTTCTTCAACTAAATAAATAAAAATGCATCAATATCCATGTTTTCTTTCCTCCCATCAAAACATATTATAAGGATTTTCCTACAAGGATGGCTTTACAGAAGAGTTCCCTCTTAATTCTGTAATTTAATTTAGTCATTAATATGCTAAATGGGAGCATAGAAAAGATTATCCTAAACGCATACTTTTTGTGTGGTTTATGGTCCTAGTCCTACAAATACAAGTTACGGGAGACCAAGAAAAATATTGAAGAACATTATTAAAAGGTAACTCTTAGTGAATAATATCCAGATAAATACTGTGACGAAATGCTACAAAGTGCAGCACACAGATGTGGCATTATCAGGAAAGAAAATTGAGCAAGTGTAATCGAAACTTTTGGTTGGAACTGCATAGAGCCCATTCCCAAACGCATGGTTAAGGCAAAACAAACAGTAAAAGGCTTGAAATTGAAATGCAGAAAAGGAATGATAAATTGACATAAAATTGAGAAATACCTCTCTTCTGTTGTGGGAGAAAAGGCAAAGGAATCTGCCGTTGCACTTGAGCTTGTGCTGCAAACGACTCCAGTTTTGGTTGACGGAATCATGCTTAGTCAATTGGGAATGCGAACGCCATGACTGTTTCCTCGTACTTAGGCTTCGCAGGCCTCCTAGGTTTAGAATCTCTGCCATGCCTTTCTCTTCCAAAGCCTAAACCCTGTTTTCTTTTTATCTTCTCACTTCTCACCGCCCCAATCTATTAACGCCAATTATCATTATCTTTTTTACTCATTCACCGTTTCAGCTACAGCTCATCATCTCTTCACAGTTTATATTTATCAGAGTGCTATCATTGTTATTTTCTTACCCAACTTTTTTATTTTTTTTTATTTATGTATTAAAAAATTAGTTAACTAATAATTAATTTCTGCAGTTTTTTATTTTTGTTTTTTTTTCTGTAAATTTACTTTTTATAATATTATGATTTTTATAATATTTTTTTATTTAATTTATTAGCTTGAAAAATTAGTTAATATGTAAATAAATTCATAAAATTTTATAGTTTTAAAGTTTTGTAAGAAGAGATTATAAATGATTTAAAGATATATAAATTTATTATACAATAAAAAATTAAATAGATTTAAAAAGATTAAATACATTGTAAAAAGAAAAAATCATAGATTAATTTTCACATGTGTTTCAAAATAAAATTCATAGATAATTAATTTTTATACATTCTTTGAAATCAAACTCATATGTAATAATTAATGATGCATGTGTCTAACGATATCAAAATAATATTTACTTGATCTTAGATAAATACGAGTTAATTAAGAATGTGTATTTAAGACTTAAAAGTGAATAATCTTACAAAAACTTACAATATGTCTAACAATAGAATGTCTAACAATATGTCTAGAAGTGATGAAAGAAATAAAGGGAAGAGAGAAAAAGAAAAGAAGAAAAGAGAAAAATAATAAAAAAATAGAATAAAAATAAAAATTGTTTAATATAAAAAGAATTAAAATATAAATTAATTTTTTAGAGGTTATTTAATTAAAAAGTATTAAATATTTTTAATGTTTCTATTTATTTATTCGATCTTATTATCATTTTTATTATAATAATTAGATTTATTATTTTTAAAAATAAATAAATCAATATAAATTATATATATAATCAATATGTAAACACAACTGATTATGTTTATATATGTTATTCATATTCTACTCAATATTTTTACCGTAGATATATAATAACTTTCACAAACAGCATCTCATTTTTTTACTGATTATTTTAGATGTGAGACCATCATAAATTATTCAGACTTCTACTTACTCACAACAAAACACACTTCTGAAATCAACTTTCAAACATTTTTTTTCTTCTTCCTTTCTCTTTCATCTTACTTCTGCACTACCAAACAAAGCCCGGGAGGAACCCACTTGGATCAGCCCCTGTCAATAATGAGATTTGCGATGATTTATATATATATATAATAGTTTTTACGTAGATTTGCATGATGTTAACGACTTCATAAACTCGTTCTTTTAATTAATATATTCAGATTTTTAAGTGTTTGCATAATTTGACTAACTTATTAATTCAATCTGGCTAAAACTATTCATTCGTAGTCATATTAGCAAATGCTTGTAATCAATTCACTGTAATGCACCCTTAATATATAACAAATGCTGGCTAAAAAGAACTAAAAAAAAGTTAGAGTTAAACAACGTATTTTGTTTTCTAAAAAATAAAAGATAAAAATAATAAAAAATTTAAATAATAACAAGTGATTTGCGAAATTTTTCCTGAAATAATATTTTTTTTAAAATTACCAAAAAAATATCTATTACACATTATTTATCCAAATAAACATCTTTACTATTCACACTCGGGAAATCAAATTCTGACCGGTATTATTTATTTATTTATTTATTTTGCTTTTTAGTTTTTAAGGAAGAGATTTTTTTTGGTAATAGATGTTTTTTTGGTAATTTTTTTTAAAAAATATTATTTGAAAAAAAAATTCGTGATTTGCTATATATGTAATAAATGACTTAGGATAATTATAGGAATAAAATAAAATAAAAATGCGTAGACCCAAATCACTATATACTCCTTTTACGTATAGTATTGATATAAATACAATAATTAACCATAATTTTTAATGCATGAACAAAAATAATTACACAGGTTATTATGATTATAAATCTATATAAGATTGTCTTCATTTTCTATTCTCTCTATTTCAATTTTGAGAACATAAATATCACTCTTCCTAAAATGTATATATTTTAATTTTGTAAAAGTTTAGAAAATAGAAAAAAGAAATGAGGAGTATCCAAATTCATGACTAAGTACCTATTTGTATAATTGTATTAGTGTTAAAATACTTGAATGGAGATGGTGAGTCGGAAAAGTGTAAAGAAACACAGTATAACCTAAGAATTTTTATCTTCTAACATAGAGGTCTTTGCGTGAAAAAGATGAGGTATGTGACACACTGTGGTACATATGACATGAGTTGTTGTTAAGGATTTTCCGTATGTAGTAAATACGAAACAAAGAGAATGGATTATCGAATTAAACAGTGTTAAATTAAAGTGGGTCATGGGTGTTGGCTAGGAGTGGAATTGTCCATCACTTTGCATTGACTATGGAAGTCCCACCAATTGTAGAATCGTAATTAGTTGACCAAACTCCCCTAATCCCTAACCACCTATGTCCTAACTCCTAAGCTATGGATTCCCCGTACATTGCTTCCGTTTTACCTCATTCCTCCTTCCTACTACATCTTTAACGTCAAAAAGAAGCAAGTGCCTCCCCACTGCAACATTTTACCCTTTTTACGTTTCTACCCTTCAACCACTACTCGTATCGTATGTGGTGATAGGAAGGGTATTTTTGTGATATGAGTGTCATAAAGATAGAGAGAAGGTATAAGCAGCCGTTTTTTGATTTGAGTTGGTGGTGAAGAAATAAAATGGTGTCGGATGAGGACATAGCGAAAGGAGTGGAGTCTCTTCTCCGTCACTCTGACCCAAACTCCATAACCACGGTAAACGGCGTCGTTCAGCAGCTGGAGGCAAACCTAGGGTTAGACCTCTCTCACAAGGCCGCTTTCATCAGAGACCAGATCGACCTTCTTCTCCGCTCGCACCCACACCCTCCGCTGCAAAAATACTATTTTACCCCTCACCCCCGGCCCCAACCACACTTTCCTTCCCATTTTGCCCTCCATGAGATGATCAACTTCCAGCACCCCCACCCTCCTCCGCCCTCTAAAGTCCACGCCTTTCCTCAAAATGTTGCTGCACCTCCTCCTCAAGTGCCCAAAGAAAGGTTCCATTCTTCGCTTGCTCTTTTAGGTTCCAGCTTCTTTCTTTTCTTTGCTTCGCTTTCTATCGTTGCGATCTCGGCTTCATCTTCAACTCTATGTAGTTCGACTATTTATTATTATTGCTTGGAATTTGGAAACCATACTACTTTATTTTTTGTTCAAATCTCCTAGCTTTTATTTTATTTTATTTTAAATAGTCCAAAATTAAACTTGTTCATGTCATATCATTTTCCGTAAATTAAATAGTAGTAATAATTTTGTCTATCGGGAGATCCCCGTCCCCGTCCCCCTAAATATCTCTCCATTTAAAACTATTGTCCTCTTGTAGCCCCTATTCTATTTATTCACATTCCATTGACTAGGACGTATGACATTTTAATGTTATTTGTCGTTTTTCAAAATCTAAAATATGTTGTTATAATATACTGTCCAATTATATATATACGAGGAGGGATCTTTTTACTCTGGGATAAGTTTACCTAGGCTTATTCCGTTTAATAACTCATGTTTTACATTAAATTTTAACGATCCAACTGTTTAATTTAAAGTTCTTAATGCATAGATCAAATCTGAAAATTTATAAAAAATTTAAAAATTATTTGATACTTCATTTCATTAATTCAAATTGACAGATAATCATAAAATCATTTTATACATTGATTTAAATTAATGTAACGAAGTATCAAATGATTTTCAAATTTTCTAAAAATTTGTAGATTTGATCTATGCATTAAAATTTTTAAATTGAACGGTTGGATCGTTGAAATTTGATGTAGAACATGAGTTATTGAACGAAGTAAGTCCAGGTAAACTTACTCCTAGAGTAAAAGAATTCCTCCTCTCTCTCTCTATTTATATATACACACACATATCTATTTTATATATACATGAACCCTAACTAGCGTTATGCTAGCCAATGTTATATTGTGAAATTCTTCCCTATTTAAGCCCTAGGCTTGAGATCCAAATCCAACACACACGACCATTAACTTTTAGAGTATTAAATATTCATCAGTTTAGTTTGGTCTCTGACTTAACATATTTTCCTAACGTTTAGGAATAACTTTTGAAGAATCTTTTAACATTTGAAGGACTATATAACATTTTTTTTAACACTTGAGAGATCACTTGTATAATTTTGTCACATTAGAAGAGAGATAATATTTTAAGGATGAAATTGATGGTTCATTCATGTTGCTAGAGAATTGGATATTAAGTTAATTTGAAGGTAGGGGATCAATACATGTGCTAATCTTGTTCTGATTAGCTTTGAATATGCAATATTTTCTCCAACCCGTCTCTATTCTAATAAGAATAGTGTTATGGATTAATTTATGAGATGGTATGTTGGTATTCTTTATGAATGATTTAGCCGTGTTCAAGCTGGAGGCAAAAGAAGAGGCGGTCCTGGTGGTCTAAACAGAGTTTGTGGTGTTTCTCCTGAACTTCAAGCAGTTGTTGGTGAGCCCACATTGCCAAGAACTGAGGTACTTTTCTTTTACCAAACTGACTTAGAACCTCTCTTACTTTCATTGTAAAGCCATGAATGTTCATTTTAATATTCTCAATCCAGATTGTGAGGCAGTTGTGGGCATACATAAAGAAAAACAACCTCCAAGATCCCGGTAACAAAAGAAAGATAATTTGTGATGATGCACTGCGTTTGGTATTTGAGACAGATTGCACTGACATGTTCAAGATGAATCAGTTGCTAGCTAAACACATTACCCCACTTGGACCTACAAGTAAGTGGTAAATAGCTAATTTCTTATTTGGATAAACTTTTCGGAAACCACTCACATGAATAAAAAATAAAAAGACAAAATAAATTAATTTTCTCCTATAAAATAAAAACAACTTATGCACTTCAACTTTTATAAAAGTTTTTTTGCTTAACTTTTCTAAAACCTTATTTTAACTTATGAGAAAAACTTAATTCATATACATTATTCATATACATTATTTCCTTCCCTTATTAGTAGTTATTGAGAGTTTGTATAATTAGAGCCTAAATATAATGAGGATACTGTGTTTCTATCTTTTTTACCAGGGGTTTCGTTGGTTCTTTAATTAATCTTAAAATTCTTTTAATTTTGTCGCTCCAGAGGAATCACAAGCTAAACGAGTGAAGGTGGATACTGAAATTAAAATTGAAAGTGCTGAACCTACTTCATCTACCATGGTAATATCTGAAGCGCTTGCCAAATTTTTGGGAACTGAGGGAAGAGTGATGCAACAATCTGAAGCCATAAGACTTGTTTGGGAGTACATCAAGCTTCATCATTTGGAGGTGTGTAGCGATGCTTCTTTCTCCAGTCTTGCATGCTCCAACCTTCAGTTTAAGATTCCTACACTTAAATAAGAATTAAGATCATGGGTTTTTCTGGTGGATTTTAAAATGTTGCATAAACAATTAAAAATCTTGAAATTAAATCTGTGATTGAAGCAGCAAACAAGAAGAAATTAAAGTTTAATAATAAGGAATATTTGTTCTTCTCATTAAGCAAGTTCTTTTCATGGCGTCCATAATTGTTTTTCCTACAATTGCTCCATTTTATTTGTAGGATCCTTTAAACGCAATGGTGATATTATGTGATGCAAAGCTTCAAGAGCTGCTTGGATGTGAAAGCATTTCTGCTTTAGGAATACCAGAGATGTTAGCACGCCATCATCTATTTAAACAATCTGACACCTGTTAGTGCGGATCAATTATTGCCGTATAAGGTTAACTTTTTCTTTCATCTAATGTCTTAGCTATTATCTTCTTGGGATTTTGTTTTTACTTTTTTTTCCCTAAAGCATTTCGTCAACAATTTTGTCATGGTGGAAACAAATATCTCCCTTCAATTATATGTTTCTTCTTTATACAATATTGAATATCTTGAAACTTGCGTGTTTCTTCTACCATTTAAGTGTCCAACAATTTCTATATTAGCTTGACCACTAAATCCTCTTTATGTGTTCTCCTAGCTGAGTATGTTTCCCTGCCTCATTTTCCTCTTCATTGGGACATTTTAATGAGTCTTTTGTTATGACCTGTGTGGAATTTGACTAACAAATGGTTATTTGGTTTGTTCTTTTATTATGATGCAGGGGATGATCCGCACAGAGCCTTAGTTATATGTTTATGCTTGTTGGTAGATCGTATAGGAACTTTTTACTTATTCCTGTAACTTCTTGTATCCCTTTGTTCATTGACATATGTAAATTTAATGTTGTCTGACGGTTATTAGGTTCATTGTTTAGAATTAAGGCTGGGCAAAATTAATTAAACTGAACTAAAACTGTTAAATAACTGATTTATTTTAAACTAAAAAACTAAAACTGATTAAAATAAAACTGAATTAAACTATTTTTTAATTCAGTTTTAAATAACTGTACTTGTTTAAGTTACAGTTTAGTTAACTGTAAATAACTATTAATTAAAAAATAAAAGAAGGCATCGCACAGATTGGTTCTTTACGCTAGCCGCTAGGAATCCTAACTCACATCACATTCACACGACTCACACCAGCGACAGCCACAGCCCACCACAAGGTAAATGTAAAAAATCATTTATGTGGGTATCCCTTTTTCCCTAAAATATTTGGGGTCCAATGAGGCAGAGAACTTCATTTGCTCCAGATGCAAAATTTCCAAGTTCCCTCTAAGGTTATTGAGATCCGCGAGTTCCCTAAGACCTCCCATCTGGTAGTTCTTGCTGGCCCCAAAAAGTGACATTGTCTGTAGATGACTCAACTTGCCTATCCCACGTGGCATGAATAGTACATTGGGATAGTTTCAACGTCTACTAGTGGAAAAGCTTTGTAATTGAACTAGGAAGCTTCTCTATGTTATTATGGGACAGATCGAGATACCTCAAAAATAGTGCATGAATAGTATAGTTATTAATAAGTGGAAGTTTAGGCACAGTTTAGGCACAGTTTAGGCACAGTTTAGGTTGAGTTTAGGCACAGTTCATGAATAGTTCAGTTTAAAAATAGTGCAGTTCAAAAACAGATTAAGGTGTACAACAGTTCAGTTTAGTTTATATTATAGTTCAGTATAGTTCAGTACAGTACAGTTTAATAGAGTAAAAAACAGTTCAGTTCAGTTCGTCTGAACTAATATTTAGTTTAGTTCAGTTCATGAGAACTATTTTTAAGTTTAGTATAGTTTTTATAAGTTAAGTTCAGTTCAGTTCATTTTGCCCACCCCTATTTAGAATGACAATGTATACCTTGAGCTAGGCAAGAAGTATGTTGTATTTACTGGTCCCTGTTAGGAAAAATCGGCCTTTGGAAGATTTATTTGTTATATGTGGACGATTCGTATGAACCGACATGAAAATACAGGCTTCTAATTCCAATCCATTATATTATCATATCCAAATCAAGTTCCCGAACAATCATCCAATAAAGATTAGAATGCATTGCAAAATTGTAAAAGAACTTATATTTGGTTGTTTCTTGTGTGTGGTGGCAGCTGGCAAAGTAATGAAAAGTCGTTGAATGGAAAAGAACATAGTAGACATACATGTTCGTTGAATAGTCATGATTTAACGGAACTTCCTTCTTTCATCGGCTGAAACTAGGGTTGTTTAAAGACATAGATTGAAAGAGCGAGTCCCACCTCGATCTCAGCTTTCGGGAAGGGACGTGATGGTTGGTTTTGGACACAGAGGAACTAGCGAAGGTCAAAGCATTGCATTGCCCAAATAATAATAATAATGATCAAAGGGAAAACGATATTTACACCACAGCAAGAATTTTCACGTTCAATTACACGACTGTATAAGAATAAGAATTTCTTCTATAAATCCTTTCGCGCCAAGCTTGTAAATTGCAACTTTCACAGTTCAAAAAAATTTGGCACGATCACACTGGTCTCTTTCCATTTGATGTGCGGAATAGCATAGTCAATCTTATTCTGATTAGAAATATTTTTGTGACTAAGCTTGCAGTTTAATTGACACTTGTAATCTTGTATAGTCAAATTAATCTTTGTAAAATATAGTGTCGGACTGTCAGTTTTATTGACCTTTGAAGGATAAAAACTACCATGTAACCAGAGATGTTAAAAAGCTACCCTTACAATTGTGATTGTGAATAGGGGGTGGTTTCTTAAAATAGTATATTTAATGGGCCCAATCAAAAAGTTGCACTGCTACATGGCCACTTAATCTTTCTCGCCTACACTTTCTCTTGCTACCTATGCTTGAAGTTGATATGAATAATGCAAATATAATTTATTTGCCTTAGACACTTGTGTGGTTAGAATTTAGAAAACATTAATGGAAAGCCATCTTTATATTGCAGCAAGTCCGGGTTCGTTAGTAATTTGAATCATGAATCTTGCCAAGATGGAGATGTGATTGTCGATCTTAATCTTACGTGTCTACACGTTGGAAACATCATTACCACATTATGTGTGTATTTGAAAATAAAATGAAAATGAAAATCTTGAGGAAGATAATCTATTTTCCATAACACATCACTGGAATCTCTGTCCATTCATGATTTACGGGTCTACATGTGCTAAACAATTATTGGGCCATATCATCAATGCTGGAATGATTCGAGCCATGTAAATTTTGTGAATGGCCTAACACACATCCCCTATCGTTTTCTCAGAAAGTATTTCATTTATTCTAACCATCCAAAACCACTTACAATTATAATTCACTTAGAACTATTATTCACGTACACTCCAAATTAATGTAAACTAAATTTCTTCTGACAGAAAATTTTAAATGCTGATTTTATAAAGATTACATCACTCACATTTTCAATAAAATAATTCATCAACTAAAATTAGAGTTTAAGCACAATACGGCAAGAAACAAGCGCATTAGAATAAATGAAAATGAACATATACGACAAAGAGAAAGAATTTACAGTAAGTCTTGAAATATGACACAACTCATTTGCTGGCCATATGAAACGAGAATTAAGTTTAGTTAAAGAAACTAGTTTGTTTTGTGCATCACAAATATGATTATTTTTTTTTATAAAAAAATTATATCTATCACCGAAAGATATAAAATAGACATCCTAGGTAGGGAGGGGTTGAGATAGTTAGAAGCATAAGGATCTAGGTTGAATCTTCATTGCGACTATTTTGTAATCTTTCTTATTTAAAAAAAAAAAAAAAAAAAGACATCCTAGGTGTGTAAGATATAAATAAGCAAGTTTAAATTAATACATTTTGTTTATTTTCTTATTTTCTTTATATCATCCCCAACAAAAATTGTTTTTAAGATGACATCTCTCAGGACAACTCATAAAGCAATGGGTTTTTATTGGAAAGCATCTCACGTGTTTCACATATGATCAATTGTAAGCCAGAGTAATCGTAACTTTTTTTTTTTTTTTTTGACAGAGAGATTCATGTAATTTTTGTTTTAAAAGCATGCTCTGTTTAAGTTATTTCATCGATATAAACTAATTAGCTAGAAATATTCTGTAACACTCTTTTAAATACATTTATTAATAATTTAAATTAATTAAAAATATATAATTTAGTGGGTCTTAATCCTATAAATAACTCTCTTGATTTTTTTTTTATTTTCAATAAATTCTAATCTATAAGAGTGAATGTATTAAAAACAATTATGTAATTAGCACCCCTTTAAAATAACTGAGTAAGTTGTCCAACTCATTTAAATTTTTTTGAACAGCGCAACGTTATGAAAAATATAAAGAAACTATATTTTAACAATTTCATGAGTTACTTTAATGAAGTTGTCTTAGGAGTTAATACTTCCTTAAAATAATATTGTAGCTATGATAAAGCAGACAAAATTGTGACACGCAATTAGGGAATCAGAGGCAGAACAATCTTGCTTATGTCCAAATTTGGAGTTAATATTCTAGTTAATTGGATTTTTTTTTCCATCATATTATTAGTGCAAAAGATGTATCCATTTCGTCGATGATTTAGAAAACTTGATTCAGCATTATTTTCAGTAGGGTCTTTTATTAATTATTTTTTTCTTTTTGTATTCACGTAATTAAAATATTAAGATTTTATTTAAGAATTTGAATCTAATTTTTATGGAGCTAATGATATGAGGTGGGAGTAGGGTGTGGGTTTTTGCATCTTTATTTGGAAAAAATAGAAAGGGAGGGTGGTGACTGGTGAAATGCAGATGCAGAGAACAAAAGCCCTTTTCTTTTGCTCTGTTTATGCCAACTGTGATTGAGATGTGTCTGTGGGCTTCATTTGGACGGTAGTGATTGGCACTTGTCATGCTCCCTACTTCCCACGGTCCCACATCACCACCGTCCCTTGCCTCCCTCGTTACTTATTGCTTTTTTATTATTATTATTATCACGTTCATACTTGAAAGCGTGTTTTGAAAATTATAAAAATTAAATTATTTTTATTATTAATTATATATATATAATCGATTTCAATTAAAATGAAATTTTGTTTAATAAATAATAATAAAAATTTTGTTGAAAAATTTTATTAAAAATAAATTTAAGAGATTTAATTTTATTTAAATAAAAAAAATTAACTTTTACCTAAGGAATTTCAGAATTTGAATTTAGCATGTATAGAGATTATTTTACTTCTTATTTCAACAGAAGAAGTCTCAATTAAGGAAAACAATTTCAGTATTTTTAGTAAAGGATTTTAATTCTCTTTTGAAATTTATCCAAGTGTAATGTATATTTGAAGTTTGTCATAGTAGTGTATACATCTATACTAATCATGATATCCTTATTTGATAATTTGTTTCCGATTACTTTTGACTAAACAATACATTCTAAGGAGAATTTGATTCCAACAAGGACTTTTATGATTAGGTTTGTTCGAAATATTTTTCCATCTATTATAAAATATGATCTCTTTTTTTCAAAATTCTTGCAGAAGATTGTTTAGGTTTATCTTGCTTTTTTGTGCAAATGTATCCTTATCACCATCACTATCTTGTGTATGGGAGCTTATTAACTCAGCCAGCAGCGGGACATTATACTTCTTTTTTTTCAACTAGGTCAGATTGAGGTGTTAGCTTTAACAATTATGTCTCTAGAACATGCGATAATCTTAATTATTATACCTAAAATTATTATTTTAAATAAAATGTCATTATCATACAAGACATCATGTAAAATTATTGTTTTTACTACTATTTTAGATAAAGAGTCATTGTTATACCAACACCATGTAAAAATATTATTTCTACTATTGTAAGTAAAGTTAGGTGAAGTATCTTTGTCATAATAGACATTACGTGAAATTATTGTATGTACTATTGTAGATAAGATTAAATGAAGTGTCATTATCAAGATATGTGTTTGTAATATGCTTTATTTGTCATAGGATTAAAAGGCTCCCGACGAAGTGGTATCAGAGCCTAACCAATATTCAAGAGGGGATACATATGGTATGAATGATATATGGAGGGCTAGTAGGAGAGATTCTCATAAACCGTTAAATTTGCATTATTGTCAAGGATCGATCAGAGAAATTGAAAAGTTCTTTAGTGATGTGAGGTTGAAGATGATAAATTCTTTGAAAAAAAAGCATTATGAGAAGATCAATTTTAGATTATGCTAAATAAACTTCTTTCTCAAAAAAAATATAAGACTATATTGATTTACTAATAAGCAATTTTGAGATATTTAATTTCGTTTAGATATAATAAATTTATGTAATAAATTAATTTTAAAAGAAAAAAAGCTTAAAAATAATGAAAGACTTCAAAATTTCAAATTATTGAATCAACTTATTTTTATAGAAATTTTTTTTAGTAGTTTAAGCTATTTTCCAAATATTTAGTTTTTTTTCTTCTAAAAATAAGTTTTGTTTTTCTTTCAAAACAGCAGAAATCATTAGAAAACATCTTTCTCAAACACGTACTAATTGTATACACAATTGAATTTCTACCATTTACCATTTTCACTGTCTCGTCCCGCAAATAAATAGTTTTCATACGAGCAGCAAAATAGTGTATGAAAATATAGTCTCTTAATCAAACATGATTAAGTTTAGTGAATGGAGTGAGTCTCTCTCGACATGATAAACTACGGATTGAATTTCTGATGAAGAATGCGTTCATATCTCAATTAGATTCAAAGAAGAATGTCGGTAAAAAAAAATGATCTCTAATTTTGAAGGAAAAATACAAATTAAAGGAAACAAAATCATTTAGAAGTAGATATGTATTATTATTCATTATTTTGTACATAGTGGCATGATGTGTCTGTTTGAAAAAGATTCTTGGAAGTGACCACTCCTCAGTCCTCACTTCCTCTAACTCTATATAAACCTCTCTTGCATTCTCTTAGCTCTTACCTTTTCTTTCTGCTTCAAACCTTTTTCTTTCATTTCTACTCTTTGCATTCCAATTTCCAAATGGCCACTGTTGAGGTAATTCAAACATACATTTAATTACAAGTCATCAATCTACAAATCAACTCTCTTTTGTATTCTTTTTTGCTTCCTTCTTTTCCGCGTTTGTATCTTCATTACATGTAAACTGATATATATACCAGATAGCCAGGGTAATCAGTATCTATCACTATGTTTCATAACCATCTCCATCATAGAAATTTATTCACACAACATTTTCCTGGGGATGATTTTACATTTCTCAAAAGCATCCAATGGATTCTCATCAACAACTTAATATACATCCCTTTCTCTCTCTTTTTCTTTGTTCTATAACCATATAGTTGCATCCAAATTACGTCAAGATCGATCATCAGGTATCGATTTTGCTGATTTTTTCTCAGGACTCTATTATTTAGAGTGTGTTCTGTTTGATATCGGAAGTACTTCTAAACTAATTTAAGTATTTGACCGAAATAAACTAGTTTGATTTGCAAATATGTTTTAATATTTCAACTAGTTTATAAAAATAAGTTAATAAATTATTAGCATTTTTTTTGTCTATTTTTATTCTTATTAATTTATTTCAAATTTCTTTTTATTTTAAGTAACTAAATATGATTCTTTTATTTTATTTTATATTTATTAAATATTTAACTTATAGGATTTAAGTTTATAAGTTAATTTTATGAAACATATAATCAATCAATTAATCTAGAAGTTTTCAAATTTTTATTGCTTAACCTTTTAAATTTCTTCTCAGAAAAAAAAATTCCAAATTTAATCTGGCTCATATGCTTAGTTTTATCAAACACAACATCTCGTCGTGTCTTTAAACAAACGCACTAAGAGAAGAAATCGTAACAAAAAAAAATAATTAAAGTCTTATAAAATGTATTTTTAACACTATTATATACTATTCTAGATTCTAGAAGTTCTTTTAAACGTTTTTAAGCTAAAGCTATTCACTCTTTTTCTCGTAACATGTTATTAATTAGTTTTGGTGATGCTACCATCAATCTCTTATTCACAAGAATATGCCCTGATATCAGAAGTTTAGAATGCTTAGTTAAACTTAAATGGATCTCGCAGGTTACACAGCAAATACCAACAAATGTGACAGAGAATGAAACAGTGGAGGTAAAGGAAACAGTCCCAGAACAAGCAGAAGTTCCTGCCACGGAAGAAACAACTGAAGAACCAAAAGTGGTAGAAAAAGAAGCCCCAGTTGGCACAGAAAACCAAGTTGATGAAGCAGCAGAAGAGGCACCTGAGGTAGCAGTAGAAACCGAGAAAACAGAAGTGAAAGAAGAAGAAATAAGTGAGGAGCCTAAAGAAGAAACTAGTACTGAAACCAAATCAGTAGCAGTGGAGGAAGAGAAGCAAGAGGATAACAAACCAGCTGAAACCGTATTAGAGGAACAAGTTTCTGTTGAGAAGACTGAAGAAGAAGCTGCCTAGTGCCTAGGCCTAAGCATAGTGTGATGTGAATTGGAAAAGGTTCCAATATTGGTGCCTACTACTTGTTGGATCAGCTCTACCTTTTTGCACGTCCAAGTTGATGAGAAGCTTTTTATTTTTATTTTAGTTTATTTGTTATTGTAATTGGTATGGCTCTATGATTTATGAACATGTGTTAGAGAATTGGCTCCATGTCTTGGCGGAGGATACAAGAATTCTATGGTTATGTAATGAAGTGGGCTATAGTGGCTCAGGTTTGGTCATTGCGTGTTGCTCTTGGTTTGAATAAATTATATTTACTTTTATAATATTTTTTTTCATGTGAATATGCCTATATCTTCTTCGGCTACGCCTACGCAGAAAGATTATGATATTGTTAAGTAAGTTTATCTGATCAATTCAAGATAGATTGCTAAATAAACAAATATGAACTAGTAGACTATCTAGGCTTTTAAGAAAGGTTGTAAGAATTAGTGCTTTCCAGATGCTTGAGGTTTCGATAATTATAAAACATTACAGGGAATTGAAGGAAGAAGTGGGGATCTGTATAGGTATTGATGAATATAGTGAAGTACATCAAAGGTTGAACCTAGCTTTTATACATGTTGAATATACTTTTTGTTCAATATTATTTTAGGTTACCAAGTAATTTGCACATTTGCACCCAAATGAGAGTACAGAATATGGGTTATTCTGCATAAAATGCGGATCAAGATCAATACACTATGTGGCAGTATATTCAATCCATCAGCACAACCTGTGATGCTTAGTCAGATCTTTGGAAAAGTGTGAATGATAATTTTTCCAACTACTTGAATACAGCGTGTTTATTAATAGTTCATTCCCAATAATGTGAATACGAGAATCTCATGTTTTTTTTAAGAGTTTTATCAAGTTAATTTAGTTTGGGATTTGTTTAAAAAAATTGTTGGATTCGAACTAAACTTTAATTGGTTTGGTTTCAATTCCTTAAAATCGAACTGAATTATAAACAACTCTAATAATGAAAAATGAGTGTAATTTTTTAATAAAGTTTATAAAATATTGATTTGATTTTAATCTATATATTAAGTGTTAATTAAATAGTCTATTAGATTTGAAAATAAAATAAGATGAATTATTTTTTATTTAACTAATGATCTATCTAATACGATGTAATAAGATGTTTGTACTTTTTTTATTCTAACAATTGAATGGATTAAATTTGATTTTATATAACCAGATGGATCATAAATAAATGAATTATTTTGTTACTGCTATATATAAGAAAATGACCGTAGATTTTTGGTCATTGTCAATGTTGGGTACAACATTTTCCTATGGTTTGGAATAGAACAAATGTATTGAACTTTTTGCAAATTTTGCAAATATTTAAGAGATTAATATGCAAAACCAAGTTAAAATCTCAATCGTAATTTTTTTTCTCTCAATATCTTCTATTTTTTGGGTAAATAATAGAGAACTAGAAATTAATCTCTTGAAATATTAATATTTATTTAAGTGATTAATCTTTTCTAACAAATATAATTTATTAATTGACACAATTATTTATCAATTATTATACGTGTATTAATTATTACACCTTCAAATATTTATTATAAGATATAATTTAAAAGAAAATGATGGTCCATTTTATAAGGTAATTTATAATTTTATACAACATTAATTTTATTTATTTTTTTTATGTCTTTTTATCAACTATTACATCGTTTAATAACTTTATATTAAATGATTATTTTTTTTAAATTTATCGTTAGATTAAAAATTTTGTACTTCAAGATCATATATATGCAAAAAATTTATAATAATTCAAAATAATTTGATACCTCCTTTATATAGATCAAAATTGACATAATATATATACAATTAAATATATAAAAATATGAACAATTTGATTACTTTCAAATTGTTATTTAATTTTAACAAAATTTGATATGAATACTAGGGTTGAGCCAAAATTGACTTTGGAAAAGAATATGTGTATCTTTGATAAAGATAATAGAACTCAATCTAGTTGGACTGAGAATATATATACACATATATATATATATTTTTTTTTAATGAAAAACACTTTTGGACATTTTTATTAAACAAATTTTTAAGTGTTTTTATCACTCATTTTTTATTTTCTTAGTTTTTTTATCTCTTATAAGTTATCATTTTCATTTTTAAATTAAATTTTAATATTTTTGAAAGAAATTATCATATATTTTTTTAAAAATGTATCATAATATAAATTATTTATTGTAAATTTAAAATATACTAATATGTATGTTTACTTATAATTTTAATTATAATATATTCTTTGTATGTAAAAATATTCATTTGTCATAAATTTTAATTATATAAAAATAAATATTTTTCTATTGTCTAAAACACTAACTATATCTTATGATAAATAGTGAAACTTCATCATCCACTAAATTGGATACTTTACTTTAGAGGTGATTAATGCACAGGTTCAACCAGTTTCGAGTCATAAAAGTTTAAATCGCATCAATCTATAAGATTTGTATGTCAAATATCCAACCAAAAATCAAGTTTAGATGTTTTAGATTGGACGAATTTTAGACGGGTTGAAATGGATAAAAATTAAAATTAAAATACAATAAAATTTAAAAAGTTCATAATCAATTTAGAAAGAAAATACAACACATTTCTAGTATGTTCATAAAAGAAACGAATATAAAAATCCAAAAAATCTAAGAAAAGAACCCAAGAAGAATGATCACTAAAAGAACATCTCGGATTCTCGATAATACAACTTCTTGAGTGAGCGGGGATAGTGCAAAGAAAGAAGCAAAAAAGACTTTTTTCCTATTCCACAAATTTTATCAACTCTAACAAATCTATTCTAGTGTTCTTCTATGCGAACTTACAAGATGGGTGAATTAGGCAACAAGGGAGCATAAAAGCCCGAAATCGAACTCAGCTGATAATACCCATCTTAATTTTTTTTAAAACCCACCCGAACCCACCAAATACTTTCTTTTTTTTTTATTTCGGTTTCGGTTCGGACCAGGCCGTTTGCTCACCCCTTTCTAAAGTAAAGGTGCATGCTAGCTTGAGAAACTTCTTGATATCTTCTACCGTAGGAGACTATTTTTCTACCATCAGATATATTAGTTTTTAAATAAAGGGTCATAATTTTTCTTCTTTTTCCTTTTCTTATCTTATTTTTTCCTCCCATTATATCTCTAAAAACCCCTACCCTACCACCAATCCCATCCTATTCTAGTCGTTCTAATACTTGTTGAATTTAACAAAAAATACAGTTCACACTTCACCCTTCTAAACAAAAAAAATTCTGGAAGCAGGTCATGATGAAAGACACAAAGTTATTATACAGCAACTAAAAGACCCTAAAAATCCTGTAGTTACTCTTTTTTTTGAAGATTCGAGTCAATGATAACCAAAACCATGACATGGTAGTCATTACCTGTTATAGCTAAATAAATACAATTCATAACAAAATAATAACCACAAAAAGACTACTCGATATAGACGAAGACGGTTGGCTTAAATGTTGTTGTTTCTACAGTGAAGAGAGAGAAGAGAACAACCGAACAAGGAAGCAGCAGGCCCGCAAAAGATCAATCCTCAATTGATTGAGTAGATGAGTTGCTCTTTTAGCACGATTACCAGAACGGCAATGCTAGATCATAGAGAGATCGAATTTTCTTTCTTTAAATCCTGTTTTATTTATAGTTTATCCATATAAACATTTGACAAAGACCAATGCCACTGCAACCCTTGACTACATTGAGAAATAGAAGTAGTGAATTTTGTCACATTATCCAATTAGAGAATGGATGGATTACTCCTATAATCTGTACAACGATAATTCTATGTGCAGCCAAAACCACTTCTATCCAGATTGCAGGTGTATTCACCAAGTACCAAAACTGCAGCCAACATGTTCTTGGGTGATGACATCGAGACGATCTTGCATGACAGACATAGATGAATAAGCTGGGAAACACAGCCGGAAAAAGCATGTGTGAGATGAAGGCAGGTGATCACCAGGTTCAAGGGATTTGTATATGTAGAGACGGGAAGCCAAACCACGGAAACCTTCAACCGGTAAATATTTTACAGATGTCCAAAAGAATAGAAGAACTTTTCTTTGATCCGCCGTCATTCTCCCAACAATCTGACAAGTGTTTTTCAACAGAAATAATATATAAAATAGAACAAATGAGCAGCATTTCTTAACGAATATTGAAATACCGAGTTATTTGAAAGACATTCCAGAACTAATTATTCCAAGGATGTAATAAGCATCCAGCTTTGGTTAAAGAGAGATCATTGGTAAGTTCAATAGAGATAAGAGAAGTTAATATTCAGACTTCTCAATAAAAGGTGAAACTATATGCTAGCACTTTGCAAACTTAATAACATTAATATAGTTTGGTATGATATTTCTATTCAGCATAAAAACCTATATTCAAAACGTATAAAAGCCAGATCTATCAGAATAATGGCCCAAACTGACAATCATCATTAACAATATCGGTTACAAAGAAGGAAGGTATGACCACTGAATTGAATAGTCTCCCTGTAAACAAGGCATCACAATTATGATTTCAGGCTTCGGCAACGAAAATTTAGAGAAAAATGTACATAAGAGAGGTATTGGTATATAATATGAAACACATCAAAGGTTGAACATATCAGGGCTAAAGGAATGGAATAATTTTCACTAACGCATCCAGGAGCAGGAGCAGTATACAGAAAAATCTCCCCATGGGCAGATGAGAAACTTTTAAGTAGCCCCTACAGTGATGCTTTCTAAGAAGCAATAAGACAATAGAACTCATTTTTGTTAAGTTGAAAAAATGAAAACAGACAGCCTTAGAGAACATCACGTAGCAGGTACTTGTCATAGAGGAAGGCGGGGGGAGAAAAGATTGAACAAAGAGAGAGAGACTGAGATTTAATAAAAGCAGGATGTACATACCTCCCAAAACCAAGTTATCTGAATATCTGTCTCTTTATAGCCATTGTACTCGGTGTGTGCTTTCCAATCTTCAACAGAAATGGTATCTTCACTCCCATGCAGCATCCAATCAAGATCTTCAAGGTCCAAACCTTGGAAGAAGAACTGCTGGAGGCTTGTGTTTGAAAGAATATCAGCAAAACCTTTGGCAAAATGTAATACCTGCTCAGATATGGATGTTACGAAGCGATCCTGTATAAGAAGATCAACATACTTGTCCCTGTTCTTACTATTAACTACAAGGTTCTTTCCGCCAGGGCAGAGCTCAACCACTTTCCTGTGTCCTAATTCCTCCACCTCTCTAACAAATGTCAGTCCTAATGCATCTGAATCAATGAAATCAGCATCCATATCCAATATTTGCTTGCAGCTATTATAAAGATAAGGATCTGCATCCCTTATATCTTCTAAAGTAATGTGGTTTCCAGCCAATTGCAAGAAAAACACACGATCAAAAACAATCCCCACTTGCACCCTATGCATCAAAGCTAATGCAATAACTCGACCAGCGAAGCTGAAGTACTCTAGGTGCAGAGGATGTACCTTGGATGCTACAAATAAGTACATGAAGTATAAGCTAAACTCAATTATCAAGAAACTGCAGAGGATGTACCTTGGATGCTACAAATAAGTACATAAAGTATAAGCTAAACTCAATTATCAAGAAACTCTAATGATGGCAACTTTTACAAGATAAACAGCAATGACGAAAAATACTTAACACTGACAATGCAACAAGCAACCCCAGTCCTTATTAATACTAGCTGGGAACTCAAGTTCAGACTAAGAACCAAAGTATGTTAGATAGGTTACACAATGTAAATTTGAATATCTTCATTTGAACAGTCTTTGACCGATGTATTTACATGAGATAGTCAAATATGTTAATTCTGAATAATAGACAAGAAACGATTGCATAATACTTCAAAAGGTGACTGAAGGAAGAATAGATACAACTACAACAAAAACAACAAAGTTTTATCCTAGTAAGTAAAATCAGCTACATGGATCACACAATGCCATCAGCTCAATTAAAGACTAAGGCTTCAATGATGTTATTTACCGTGAGCCCACTTGACAACTTTCTCCAATGTCTTTCTTGGTCTCCCTTTACTCCTATTAACATGACTAAAAATCATGCAATCTACTCTTCTCACCAATACCTCTCATTTACTTCTTTGTACGTGTCTAAATCACCTTAACCAATTTTTTGTCATTTCTCCCTGAATCAGGGAACACCAAGATTTTGAATAAAATCATTTTTTATACTATTTTTTCTTATTTAGTCACACATTCATCTTAACATTTTCATTTCTGACACTTCAACCTTTTTTTTCGTTTATTTAAAGCTTCAGAATCATAGAATATATCTAATTGTATAGCAATACAATTAAATTTGCCTGTGTTTAATGGGTACTTTGTTGTCTTTCTCCATTTTAGCCATCACACATGTGTCCTATGTGTGATCCCATATATTTTAACATAAAAATATGTGATATGACATCTCTCATTTTTACTTCAAAGTATTATTCTTCATCTTCCTTTTTTTGCAAAGTTTGTCTCTAAAGGTCAAGTTTAAGGTTAATTTGCTTTCCTTGATTCCCCAGTCAAAATTATATCACCCAAAAGCATGCAATTAGGGATAGTTTGTTGTATGTCCCTCGTACAAACATAAAAGATTAAATTAAATAACTTAAGGATGAGCGTTAATGTAATCCTATCCCTATAAGGAAATATTTAGCCTAGCCTCTTAGAGTTCTCACACTACTAGTAACCCCATCATACATGTCTTGTATTACATAGCTTGAATATAGGGCATGCAAACACCTTTTTTTTACCAGTCTTACACAACAATTATCTTAGCAGTTGATCATAAGCTTTTTCCAAGTCGATAAAACCATATGTAAGTTTCTTTCATCACTTTGGAACCTTTCTATCAAACTCTAATTGATAATTGACTTCAATTGTACAACCTTCCTGACATAAAATCAAATTGATTCTATGCAATCCTCATCTCTCTTAATTTATGTTTGATCACCTTTTTCCATAATATCAGTGTGACTAGTAAGTTTCTATGTGATGGGCACAATTATGAATATCTCCGTTATTCATAAATATTGATATCATTGCTAACAAATTGTTACCATATGGATTTATTTTTGGTGTTTTCACACTCATAACTATAACCCAAGGTGTATTAGATAAATTATGAACCATGATGTAATGGCCCTAAAGCACACCCAAATGGTTGAATCATTTAATCTTTAGTAAACTTTATAATGAAAATTAACAAATTTTATTTTTCATACATCAATAGGTTTTACAGCAACAGCAACCCTAAACCCCAAATCTGAAATACAGTCTCTCCCTTTGTAGGATAAGGCTGCATACATTTATCCTCCACGGACCTCACTAGGTGAGTCGTATACTGAGCCACCCATTCAAAAAGAGTTTTTACAGCGCAGAAGCATTCACTTTGGAGGTTCATGGCAAGCATGATGTTGTTGTTAGATACTTACTTTTTTATCAAGGTATGAGCAAGGACTCCTCTTGTTTGAGGTCCAACATTTCTCACTAGGTGTGTGTTTGATTTAACTTATTTAAAGAAGTGATTGTTTATTTCTATTAGCTTCTTGAAAGAACTTTCAAAAGAAAAGTGATTATTTGAAAAGAAAAAAAACTTAAAAAAGAGTTACCAAACATACACGAGGTGTACAATTAAAAAATATTTTTTTATTCAACACTTCAAGGACTCTAGTATTATTATATAAAAAAAATCAATTCTTTTAAAACTCAAAAAAGTTAGCTTAAAATATAGTGTAAAATATTTTAAAGAAATAATACCTTTCAATATTGCTTTGTGAGGTTCAATCACCATTTATCATATAAAAAAAAAATGCAACTTACCAAGTTGTTTTGAGAAGGTAAATATACCTTTCTTGAAAGATATATAATTCAACTTTCTGTGTTTGCAATTTTCTTAGTCAAGAGACAGAGCTTACATTGTGCAATGATGTCTCCTAGTATTTTTTGTGATGCCCATTATCATAGGAAAAAGAAGAGTATACAAATCTTTATTATCAATATAGATCTACTGTTATGCTCCTTGTGTGTTTAATTTCATGAGTTCCTCTCGTGTGTATCTGTGCAAAATCCACACATTATATTGCAGTCCTCCCCTGCACAGCCAAATAAATCAAAGCATAGTAGGCCTACGCTACAAGCCAATGAAGCTCTGATTCTCCAAAAATGGAAAGTATCTGTCTAATACCCATGTTGACAAGGTTATCAAAAACAGATAGCAGCCTAGCCAAAAATCCACCACAAAAAAATGATGAATGGCATGTTGGCTTATGGCGAATGCCATGACGGACAAAAATTATATATATATATATATATTAAAAACAAAAACAAATTAAAAACAGTTTTTGCATGACTTTAATGTTGGGTGCTTATTTCTTAACATTGTGCTATAAGTGAAAAAGAATTAAGAACAACATTATAGGTTTAATAAAGATTAAAGAAAGCAAAGAACAACATAACAGATAACATGATTATGAAATTCTAAAAAAACAAATAACTAAACTCCAAAATTTTGAAAAATTAGAGCACAAAAACATTGAACAGATGAAGAACAAAAACAGTCAAAAAGAATAAGAAGAGAGGAAAAGAGATAAGGAACATTTGTAGAAAATGAAGAAAAGATAAAAAAAATGGAAGGAGAAAAAAACAAATGTGAAAAAAGAAAAACTCTTATGGAACGCCAGATTTGTTTGCAAGAAAACTTTCCAAAGCTCAAGCTATCATGGTTCAGGTTGCCAGCTAGGGTGGCAGCCTAAGAAGGCTCGCCAGAGTTGTTTGGACGCAACTTAGGAGCTTCACAATAGAGAAGACAAGAGAAGAAAACAAAAGGAGAAGTTCTGCCACGAAGCCATGGCCATAGCTGATATGGTGGACGACACCATATAACAGGAAATAACGGATGGAAAATGGCATGGGGGTTCAGAAACGCCACATTATACCTTTATATGGTGACGCTATAACGGTTATTTGATAACATTGCATGTCAAACACCAACACTCATTGGAAACTTCCAAAAACGTATTCAAAAAGTATAAATTATTTTTTTTAATTATTTTGGTAACTTTTTTTCCAGGATGCTTCTTGGATACTTCCAGATATGGCAGGTGCCATAGCAGATATGGAGGAAGACACCATATAACAGGAAATAACAGGTGGAAAATGGCATGGGGGTTCAGAAACGCCACATTATACCTTTATGGCAACACCATAACGGTTATTTGATAATATTGCATGCCAGACACCAACGCTCATTGGATACTACCATAAACGTACCTGTAAAGTATCAATTATATTTTTAATTATTTTGGTAACTTTTTTTCTAAGATGCTTCTTGATTACTTCCGAACACGCATTTGAATAGTATCCAAAAAGTTTGCTTTAAGCTTTTTTGTGCAGCCATATTCTTCCTCATGCTGTTAGAGGAATTGTAGTACATACTCCATTAATTCTTGGAAGAAAAACAAAATGGACCTAAATGGGGTAGCAGATTTGGTTAATGTGTATTTCAACCTTCGACTTGTGTCTATGAAAGATGAAGCGAATAAAAAAGGAGAGACAAGGTTGTGGGACATTGGTGGAGATATGGTGCTAGACCTTGTCTCTTGATTCACTAGACTTTGAAGTTATGCCTTTTCTAGATGATGGTAATGGGGGGTGGCAGAGTGATATAATTAGCATTATACAAAAATCTAGTAATGATGCTTGAGTCATGTGCTATTGTATAGAGTCAATATTCGTTATAAGTTCTACCAAATATGCTTTTAATGATATAGTTAACTAAGACTGATTATTGTATAGGCAGAAACTGATTTTTGTTATGATCACAAAAAAATTTGTGAATATCATATCATAATTATGAATTAATGAGCAATGATTAATGTCACTTTGTTTTTTTTTACCAATATTCTACATCAATATAAATTTCTATTAACGTATTCATACCGTGGTCGTATCCTAAATTCCCATATCCCCATATTCGTGTCATATTGTACCCGTGTCATACCAAGTATCCAGGCTTTATAGCTACAAGCCAATGATGATCATCCAAGGATTTCGTCAAACAGGAGCACATTTCATTTAAGAAAAACTAATGAGTAAAGATTCAGAAGTAAATGACATGACCCCACTAAACTATGTTGGGGTTAACACAAGGATCATTTTATAAATAAACATCATATTAAGCCTCGACATATTGTGCAATCCTAATAAAGATCATTCTGTAATTACCGTGCATGTGTTTTAATATGAGAAATGCAAGCCCTGGTACATCATTTTGCATTCAAAAGCACTCCATAGCAAGCTGCAGATGTATTAAGAAAAACAGTGCATTCAGAATTTAAGGAGAAACTTACCAGGATTAGGGAAAAATCTCCTTTGATCATTTGGGCATGCCACAAAAAGAGCATTTTGTGGATTGAATATTGCTTGACATACCAGAAGAAACCACTCCCTTAGTACACCTGGGCCAGTAGCTTCTTCATTTTTGAATTCCATAAACAGGCCAGCATGCAGAGCTTCAGGCTCAGCACGTGCTATGTATTCAAAAGATTCCGTCAATAACTGAGACCTGTCAATAAGCATCTCGTGCAACTCCTCGTAATCTTCTTTCACCTCCGGGAACATCATCATGGCCAAATGTCTCCTAGATTCAAAATTGGTCACACACCTATGCTCAAGAATCCACTGATGCTCATCACTTCGCTTCGCATATCGAACAATTAACAGACAGAGCACACTTCTTTGCCGCGCCAGAACGTTCCAAAGCTTTTCTTCAGCGCCATCATAAAGCTTAGAAATTTGATACAACTCCTTCAAGATTGAAAGATAATGAGACCAAGCCGGATAAAGACTATCCCCTTCCATTTTCTGGCCAGCTAAGCTTTGGCCCATTTTTTGAAGGCACTGATCAATTTTGTTCAATAACTCAATGTACAACCGATGAAGATACTCAATCTCTTCAGCGAGCAAGAAATCCTTACGGCGTTTTTCCTGAGCCATAGAATCCTTGAGAGTTTTTTGCTCCTTAATTCCAGTCCTCAAAGGTAGTAAGAAGGCGTTAAAATCCCCAACATCGTTCGACAAAGGCCCGGCGGCCATGGGGGAATCCATACTCAAGTCCAAATCCCTCAACAAGCTATTGGCAAGCTCACAAACAAAGGGGAAAATGTCTTGAATCAAAACCAGCCCCTTAACATCATCTGAACCAGCATAGGAAATCCCACAAGTTTCCAACAAGGACCCAAAAGTGCTCCGGCAATAGAGATACAAAGGGTCATTACACCCCACTCTCCTAAGCAATTTACAAAACTCCAACACCACACGGGCGCACTGCCCGTGCAATGCCTTGGACAAGGTATTGCGGCAAGAACTCAAAAAATGCCTAACAGAGGAATCAGCACAGTCCTTGTTACCTGCATAAGGGGAGACATAGAGCATAACAAGCACAGCAGGAGCAGAGGAAGACATGAAAATCTGAAAGTACCCAGAGGCAGATTCGTTATCAATTCTAGGAGTCATGTTCAAGTAATTGGTGATTAAACCCTTGACAGTCTTAGAAGCATCGTGAAGGGTTTCGCCGCGGCAGAGACGGTAGACTAGAGAAACCATGTCGTTTATAACCTGCCAAGCCTGAGGATGTTCAGTGCTGCGCATGCGGCCAACGAGCTGGAGATTGGCGTCGTTTTGGATGGAACACTCGGAGAGAGTCTGCTCCCACTGAAGCTGTTTTCCTCTGTAGATGAGTCTCTGCTCGAACACTGGGATTCCCTTCATGCTCTGGATACGCTCGTGAATCGATTTGACGCTGTCTTCGGGAAAAGCCTGCATAACGATTGTGTTTCCGCCGGACATCATGCGGACGAAGAACTGGATGTGCGATCGCTGAGGCACCGAGGCCGACCACGAATTCACCGCCTTCGCCTCGTCCTTCCTCATCCTCACGCAGACTAAGTCTGACAAATCCTCGTCCTCTTCATCGTCGAATTTGCGCTTCGAGGGATGACGGTGATGATCGGTGGCGCCCCCGCTGCGGTGGTGGACGGCGGGGGTTTCGATAACAGACATTTAGGAGGCGCCGCCGAGAGTGATCAGTGAACAGCCGAAGCCGAAGCCGAAGCCATGGAATTGAAAGAAAGTTGGGAAGATGAGATGAGATGAGATGAGATTGATTGTTTGGGTTTGTGGGTTTTGTGTTGATCGTCTTTGTTGTCGTCGTTTCTTCTTTCTTTTCCTCGTTTTAATCCTCTCATACTTGTTTATATACCATTACTTTCTGTTTTTTTATTTGCCTCCGAAACGGTGTCGTCTTCCTCTTCCTCTTCCTCTGCCTCATTAGCTTGCCCTTGCACGAATAAGCTCATGCTGGGCCCCACTGCCTTTTGGCAGCAGCGGATGCTTATTTGGAATTTTGGAACAAAAGATTATGACACAATATTATATTATTCATTCACCGCACCACCTCCATACTTTCTTCTTTTTTTTTATTCTAACTTTCAAACAATAAATCAAATATCTTTTTTATTAAGGCCCTTCAAACACTCACCTTATTTTTGTTCATGTAAGATCACAGCTTTTTTAATTATTAAAATCATCTATTTAAGGAATTAATATTGCACCCTCACTTGCTTACAACTAACTAGAATGTAAAATCATCTATTTCTTTATTTTTATAAAATTTACTTAAAAATCAATCATTTAATTATTTCTCTCTTCTATGTTATAATATGTGCATTAAACTGAGTTTATTTTTTATAATTTTTTATTCAGAAAAATATATATAAAAAATACGAAACATTTTATCTTTAGTAATGATAAATAATTTATATTGTAATATATGATTATTTTGAATTATTAATAATTTCAAAAATCTCAAAAAAAAATTTCTAATTTTTTTTTGTTAAGGAGTAACTCCAAATAGCTATTATAATTCAGATGATTTATAAAATATTTTTTAAAATAAATTATATTTTAAATTTATAATGAATAATTTAAAATAAAATATATAAAAAAATAAGTGAAAATAGATAAGAAATAAAAAAATTCTATAAAAAAAATCGTTGAAAAGTAAAAACTTCTAAAAAAAAATGTTGCTAATTTTCTTTTAAAAAACACTCTCTTAAAAAAAGTTATTTTTTATATAAATAGTAATTACACAACAAATTGTATTATTACACTGACAATTAACAAAAGTATACTTTTGATTCCTTGATGAGTGTTTTAAGGGTACTAATTAATATTTTTTTATTAAAATGAGAATGAGACATATTACAAAATATTTCTTAATATTTAATTACTCTTTTAGTTTTTTTAAATTTTATAAACTATACATTTTAGTCCTATAATTAAAAAAAGTATAATCTTTTATGGTAAAATGTGCCATGAGATAGAGGAGTCGACCTATTTTTAAGATCGATTTTTGTCAAGTGTTAAAGTAATATTTAACTAGCAGAAGTCACATCCTACAAGTACAAAAAAGCTTTTGATTGTTAATTTTAGGCTACTGCTATAGTTATGACCATCCACGCATTAATCATCTTAGTTAATGATATAAACATTTTTATATAATTGATCCCTTCAACCTAATGATTGACAAACATCACTAATTTAGCCTTAAATTGCTTATTAGTTTTGTTAGAGTGGTACTTTATCTTATACAACCACTTGTAGCTAAGTGTCTTATTTTCGGTGGATAAATACTCTAACACCCATATCCTATTGTTTTCATGAGCTTGAATTTCAATATACATAGCCTCTCTTCACCTATCATTCGTTACAGGTTTGAGAAAAGACATTGATTCCTATTATGTTATAATAGCTACTATAAAATTTATGTCATAAAGAAAATTTATCACAATTCACATAATTTACAGTAGGATAAGGTGTACTTGGATTATGCATTAAAGAGGTTGAACTTGTGGAAGGACTCAGTTTTCAAATAGTATTAGTCACAAGATCACGTAAACAAACTAAAAGAAACTTTTCTCTATGCCCCATCCAAGTTGATCATTATTACACTGGCCATCACGAGTACTCACATCTCTTACTACATCATCATCACCTAGTACTTTAAGTCTTGTCTCTCTTTATTCACCTTCATTGTATATGTCGCCTTACTTCAATCCTCATATATTTTTCTTGTTCTGCCTTGTATCTGTCTAGGTTATCACTTGAACTTCAAATTTCTTCATGATTCTCTTCTTCAAATCCCTCATTAACGGTGTTTTTGTCAAAGTTCTTCCTAAGCATAGGTATTTCTTGGGCAAACGAAAATTTTGTTTTAAAAAAATTAATGTCTCATGACACAGAATATTCCTTTGACACAAAAAATTAAGTGATCATACAATGACATTTTCCTATAAAGGATTTCATATAAAGCTTTTTCATTCAAAATTGAGGAAGGGGTATGATTATTCAATTAAGCAATGGTTAACATGCACTCACCCCAAAAATCAATGGGAAGCTTTCCTTAGAAGCGTAATGCTCATGCCACATTCAGGATATGTTGGTGTTTCATTTCTACTCTTCCATTTTGTTGTGGTGTCCCTATACAAAAAGTTTGAAAAAAAATGTCATGTTCAAGAAAATAATTTTTCATACACACAAATTTCGTCCCATTATCACTTCAAACAATTTTGACTTGTTTATTATACTACATTTCCACCATAGCACCAAAAATTGTCAATGTACATGACACTTCTTTCTTTTCAACTAACAAAAATGTCCAAACAACATGAGAATAATCAAATTATTATTGTCAAAAAATACAAATCATCACAAGAAGAGGGACAAATCACAATGAATTAATTCAAAAACCTCAAAAGCTTTATGATTACTTAAAGAAAAATTGTCTCTAGTCTATTTTGCTTGTTGACATACATCACAAACTTTATTTAACAACTCACTATTGTTACCACAACCAATATGTAGTTTTTAAAGAGAGTGTCCTAGTGTCAATGTCAGATATCAAGTTGGTTTATTTCATTGGTCTTGAAGGCCTTCACTCTTGGAACCCCTTAGAAAAAATAGTCCAATCCTTCTTTTACTCACTCCAATTAGCATTCTCGTAGTGTGGTCCTGTATGATGCACAAATTATTAGTGAATTGGACAATGTTATTTGATTTATCAATTAATTACGACACACATTAAATTACAATTTAAACTATGAACAAAAAGAAAAATTTTCAACTTTAAACTCCCTTGTGGTAATCCAATTGGACACTTGAACACCCTAATACTTCTCGCAATTCACACAAGTCCTTTAAACTTCTTATCATATGTTTTGATTCCCATGTATCAATAACGCACGTAGTGATGTTGCTCTTACCTATCATCTTCTCATTGCAACTTATCTTTTGACTTTTCAACAAATTTGTTAGTATCTATCTTTACTCAGTAGTTAGTCCAACGAAATTGAAATCACCTCCTCTTGAATGGATCATCTCAAAGCGTACTCTGTCATTCTGGACAGCTATTCTCAAAGCTTTAACTTGATTCTAATACCATATAAAATTATAGTTATATCATTGTATTTTTATTTATTAGAAGTTTGAAAATTAGCAAATAGGCATCCCAAGTCCAATTTGCTCTACTCCAACATTTGTCCCCCAATTATGAATATGAGCCATGTACAACCATGCTCACCTATGCACAACAACTTCTATTAGGAAGGGACCCAAAAGGATAAAAACTCTATATGAAAAGTTGCTCATAAAAGATTGTTGACGAATGATATTATTTGTCTTTCTGGAATGACTCATAATTTTATGTGTGAATGGTGCACTATTGAAGATTAAACGGTTTTGCATATGTTGATAGATTTTCGAGCTTTACGTGCACTTTGGGATTCTTTATGTCAAGGGTCAAAGCCTTTGAACATTATGAATATCAATGTTCGAACTTAATTGAGAGCTAACTTATACATTATCTTTACTATTGCATTAGACTTTATTTGGCACAAGAAGAACCTTTTTTTTTTCTTCAGGGGAAACAGTTAAATACAAGCAACCTTATGTTATAAATTATAGGTCATTATAATGCTATAACATAAGTTTTAAATGAATTTGTTGGCTCAAGTTCGACCATTACAACCTTGAATAATGTATCAAATATTAGGTGGTCTCCATCACTAATGAGATGTTATAAATTGAATTGTAATGATGTTGTAAGGTGGTGGTATTGTGAGGAATAGTTTGGGTGATTTTTTATATGGTTTTTTTGTTAAATTGGAAAGATGTTTGATTGTGCAAACAAACTTTGAGTTATATTTTATGGCCTTAAGGTGATAAGTGATGAAGGTCTTGTTGGAAAGATTATAGTGGAATCTGAATTTACTTGGAATCTTTTTTTTTTTTTTTCTGAAGAATGGGTGCTTCAAACATCATCCTTATTACACTTTGGTTATCATGATTGTGAACTCAATAAATGATCATCAAGTAGTGTCTTGTTGTCATTGTTTAGAAAAGCAAATCAAGTTATGGATATACGTGCTAGGCATAGAAGTTCTATGACGGAAATACTGTATTTATTTCAGAATCAACCTCCTTAAATTCAAATTCCTCTACTTACTGAGTTTTCAGGTGTATTTTTTTTGCGTAACTTTTAGTTTGGACTTCTAACTAGCCACTGTACCAAAAAATATATACTAAATTTTAAGACATCTTGTTCATACAATAATTTATTTTCATCACATCATTTATTTTATCTTATATTTTTATTTCCTCCTTTTATTCTCTCTCTCTACACACACATACACGTATTTATTATGTAAATACAATTTTTTTCAGTTTATTTTCATAGCATCATGTATATACAATTTTTTTTTCAGTTTATTTTGATAGCATTTTTCTTATAGGTGTCTCATGTAAATAAGAATGAGTTAAAAACTAAAGGAAAAAAAAGGTTAAAAGAGAACGAAAGAAAAATTGTCTGCCCCTCCTTCACCGCTGGATACCCATTTCAATCCTATATGGAGATATAAAGACAGATATCCATTATTTAAAATGAGTTTTTGAAGAAAAAACATAAAATAACAAAATTTAGCTTATCAAATAATCTAAAATATTCATATAAATATAAAAATTGTCAGTGATAATATATTAATTATAGTTATATTTTATAATAGTCAACTCATATATATATATTATTTAATTAACATATTTTTCAATAATTATTATCATTTTCGACTCGTTTGGTTTTGAAGCGTAGAATTGTAATATTTTGTTTGTTATGTTTTTCTTCAGTGCAAATGGGTAATCCCCATTTATATTTGTGGGCGCAAAAAGTTTGGGTCATCCTTTGGAAGAAAGGGCGTAGTTGACTTGTGTTACTGTGCTACAAAATGTTACTGTAGGTCATTGTATAGAATCAGTATCATTATCTACCATATAACATATCATAACTTTTTTAATTTTCACTTGTATATTTTAATTTTATTGTGACTGAAACTATAAGGAGATGTGCAGTTGGTTTAGAAAAAGGAAAAAAGAAAAGGAGTGTGCTAGCGTCGAAGGAGAAGGAAAACAGTGTTGTGTCGGTAATATTTTAAAGAATGGATTGAATTTTGATGTATCGGTAATTATTCTCACTTTTCAGATTCAGCAAATTCCGTGTTTCTTCCGTCGGTGTTCTGCACCTTTTTTCTTCAACGCACCTACGCCACCTTCCGCTCGGTCCCAATGGTTGCGCAACGCGTTCACACACACCTAAATTTGCATTTACATTGCTATAAATAATCATCACTTTTCATTTGCTTCACCAAAGAACAACACAACTCATTCTTAGTAATGGATGATGTTCAATTTTGATTTGTACATGATTAAGTTTTGATTGTATAGTTATAGATAATTTATTTATAGATCACAGTTAAATGTATACTTTACCTCTAAAATGGCATGAGGAAAAGTTTATATTTCTTATTTATAAAAAAAGGAAAGGAAAAATTAAATTAAAATCAGAGTGAATAAAATCTTTTTTTTAATAACTTTTCTCTTTATTTTCTTTTCAACTATGATAAATTTTAATCTTTTTCCCTCTCTTATTTTCTTTTTCTCTATCTAATTTCAAAAATAAGAGTTAGATGAATGAAAGTGTTGTTTGTCAACATATTTCTATCCAGAGAATTAAATTAAAAAATGTAAACATAATTAAAATCAAGTTAAAAAAATTACATTGAAACCATAAAAATGAATCGTTATAAAGAATTTTTAGTCTTAAAAGATTGCTTAACATGTCAAAATGCTCTTAACATAACTATATGTTATGTGTACGAAGTTTAAAATGTATATAAATCTTCTTCTCAACAAACAACACAAAATGAAAAGATATAATTGTTTAAACTTTTAAATATTTAAATTATATTGCTTTAAACTATTGACTATAATACATATTGAACAATTATTTATTAAATTAAAAAAAATACTTGGTAACCTAATTGGTTCTACTTCTTCGACGTGGTTGAGATATTGTGACCAGGATCGAGCACTTTAAGTACTTTTGACGCTCAGGTGGGCTGGATGTATTTACATGAGTGTAAGGTGGGCTGGATTCCCAACACTAGGCCCAACTTGCTTACCATAGATAATGAACTATTTTTGGTGTAACAACAAAATTGGTTAAGAATGGTATTTACATTGTTCACTAGTTAGTGGACTGGGCTGGTTCATCACTACTATGCATATTACAGAAAAGGACAACATCCAATCTAAATATAAGATATCTATCTCGTTATAATTCTCCTAAAGCTTTAATAGAAGATCACCGTACAAGTTATTGAATTCTCCCAATAACAACGGTGCATAGTACATAAAGTTATTTACACATTAGATTTGTTTTAGAGAAAAGCGTTTTTGACCATATAAACTAGGTGCCTATAGTCATAATGCAGTTTATGTTCCCCGTCCACCAGCACCACTCCTCTCCCATGGGATGGGAATGGATGGGACAACACATTACTTACACGAACACAAGAGATCGCTATGGGATTGATTGTAAATGTTTTCCACGCCAAGTTAAAGCCCAGTACTACAGTCGAACAACGGAATCAATATCCAATAGACAACATCTATACGGATTAAAATAAAGGTACTATTCCACTAAAGAAATGGTGTATTAGTGGACAAATTTTTAAAGTACTACACTAAATATTTTGAAATACGTGTCCAACTATTTGACACCACTGGATATATTTTCTTAAAAAATAAATGGTGTAGATTGAGACAGGTTGAAAAAATGGTTTTATAATAAATTTTTTATATATTATAGAAATGTCCATTTTTACCCATAATATTAAAGCTATGGATTCTTCCAGTGTTGCTTGCCCTCTTGACCCTCTCGATGCCACCAAAGTATTTTAGGACACAGATGCAATAAAGGAGACACCATTTATGTTGGGGGAGTGTGACGTTGTCGGTTACATTATTTTTGAAATGTGCCATTATTAGAAGATATGTGTTGGTTTAGTTTATGAAAATATAACTACTGATGCAATATACCATGACTAGGACTTGTTTTGTGGCGATCTAAAATTGTTTATTACTAATTTGCAAAACAAAGTAATGCTAATTGGTAGCTTATGGAGGAAAAGGGGTGGTGGTTGGCATTGATTTGAAGGTTAGTTTTAAAGGAAGAGATACCCGTCGACGACTTCTTTGATCTGGTAGAATTTAGCATCCTAGTTACCAGCGACGAGTGGCACCTTCTCGAAAGAGATGAAGACGAAGAAAAAAACATGTAAGGAGAAGTAACTTCTAATTTCGAGAGTTTCAAATCAATTATTGTTGATTACTATGGAAGAATAATATTGCAATTGAAATTTTGGAATAATAATATTAATAATGCTGACTGAAATTTTAACAATAATAAATCCAAGAATAATTGCAGTTGAGCCAACAGTTCAAGGAAGGGATGAAAAGCTACCCTTCTTTTTTCATAGGTTCATAGGCGATGGAGATAGGAAGAGAAAAAGGGGAAGTATATAAATGTCACTATTATTTTTTATTTCTTTAAAAAACTTAAAAATATTTTTTTTTTTTTTTTATGGTTCACACATGAAACATAGTTCTCCACGGTAGAAAATACCAAATCAAATGAGAGTCCATTGTTTAATCTTAAAATAAGTTTATGGACCAAAAGTTATTTAGAAAATGTTGGAGGGAAGGTCCAAAACGAGTGGTTAGAAGAAAAAAAAAAAAAAAAACTTAAAAACAAAATTCCA